CTTCATTTTGGGAATATCACCTTGCATGGATCGATCAGCATGGCTAGATCAATCACATGACTTTTTTCTTGTGTGCGGAAACTCTTTCGTGGGATCGATCACCATGGGTGGATCGACCACACGAACTTTTACTCGTAAAACTTTTAAGCCATGGTGATCGATCACAAGGCTTGGATCGATCACCTAAGCTGAAATCTGTCAAAAATATTTTATTTCTCTCCCCAACGGATATATTCTAAACACCCTATTAATAACCCCCTCTTCCTTGGTCATTTAGAGCAACAAGAAACAATCTAAGAACACCTCTTTCTTGTGGTCTTAATCCCCCATCAATATCTTCCTCAAATATAAGTTATTTTGAGAGAAAACTATTTGTTTTCAAGAGAGTGTTCTTGTCATCCATAGAGCTTAATCATTTTCTCATTTCCACTCTTGTGAGAGTTTTGTTGTGAGGTTGAAGAAGGTTATTCTTCTTGTTGTACAAGACTTATGTGACTTAAGTCTTGGGTGTGAAGCCTTGTAGAGGGAACATCTATGAGCGGTTGTGTTGAGGCTTGTGAGATTCAAGTTCTCGAGTTGTAAACGGTTTGTCAAGAACTCGTTGAAGCTTGATAAGTAGTGGTAGCTTCGAGAGAGTCTCTCGGCTCTCGGGGAACTGGACTAGTCACGAGGTGGTGAACCAGTATACATCAGTGTGTTCATTGCCTTCTCTCTTTTATTTCCGCTGCACACTCGTTTATTTTTATTTATACACTCACGCTGTGAAAAACGGGCAACATTCTCAACAACTCTATTCACCCCCGCCCCCCTCTAGAGTTGCACACATTGTCTAACAAGCCTTACGGAGCAAGTTTTAATTTGATCAATGTTTTTCAAGCAACCTTCATCTCCAGTCATGTGTTGACTTGCTCTGTTATATATACTCCAAAACTAACAGAATTACCTGAGAATTTGTTGTCAAGTGGTGATTCTTTATCCTTCAACATCCCAATCAAATATCCAAAACCGACCCGAAAAAAATTAAATCGAACCCGACTTTTGTCAGGTTGGGTTTAGGTTAGTATATTTGACCGACCCGACCTGTACCCGAACCGACCCGACATGTACCCGACTTTCAATAAGTTTTTAAAAACTCTAAATTCCTATATTCCATGTATTTTTTATGCACATATTTTTAATGTTTTAAAACTTATTACATTTTTTGTGTTTCATTTTTTATTGTGGTTTAATATTGTGTGTCCCACATGTGCTTTTTTCATTGTACTCTATATTATTAATTGAAACTTAATATTGTTTGTTCCGCACACGTGTGAAGACGAAGCGGTTACAGATTTCTAGTCTGACGTCGCCCCGAACAGGATCGGACGGCTTCCGTTTGATCTCTCTCGTTTCACCATGTGCCCAAAACGCCTTTGTCTGCTCCTAGTTTGCCTTCCTAGACTAGAAACTCGTAACCGCTCCCTCTTCTCGTGCATACGGAACAAACGAGATCCTTTGACATCTTTAAGGGTTATTCGGTCATGATTATTTTTGTTAATATCATAAATTTTATATCATCTTTAAATTTTTTTAATTTCTAATGCATTTCAATCTTAAATTTTTCATGAATACTTTAATTAGTAGTCAAACCCGAAATTGACCGTAACTGACCTGACCGAATCTTAAACCAAATCCGAACCGAAAAAATCAATATTCGAAACCGACCCGCCAAAATCAAACCTGAACCCGACCTAAGCTAAGTCAAGTTTCAATATACTCAAACCCGACCAAACTCGTCCCGTTGCCATCCCTAATTTAAAACTTTTAATTCCTATATTCCATGTATTTTTGATGTACATATTTTTAATGTTTTAAAACTTACTGCATTTTTTGTGTTTCATTTTTATTGTGGTTTAATATTGTGTGTTATACATATGTTATTTTCTTTGTAATTCGTACTCCCTCCGTTCTCAAAAACACTTCCTCTTTCATTTTTTCTACTTCCAACAAAACACTTCCTCTTTCTATTAAAAAACCACTTTTACCCTCACTTTTTTCTACCCTACCTATCACATCATACTTTTTCTCTAATAATCTATCCATCATATCTTACTTTTACCCATCACATCAGGGGCAAAATTGGAAATCAACTATAATTTAACACTTCCTTATTTTTACCCCCAAATCAAATGGAAGTGTTTTTCCAAACGGAGGGAGTATATTATTATTTGAAAAATACTATTTATTTTTTTAAGTGTCATAATTATTTTTGTTTATATCATAAATGTATAGTCGTCTTTAAAATTTTAAATTTATAATGAATTTCAATCTTAAAATTTTCATGAATACTTTTATTAGTATTCAAACCCGAATTTGACCGTAACCGACCCGACCAAATCTTGAACCGAATCCAAAACCAAAAAGATAACTATCCGAAACCGACCCGCCAAAATCAAACCCGAACCCGACCTAAGTCGGGTCGGGTTTCAATATACTCAAACCCGACCGAACCCGACTCGTTGCCATCCCTACCCCCCGCGGCCTCTTCCTCGTCCACTGCCTGTATAATGGGGTCTATCGCCCACCATTCTAGATACCCAATGAGTTGGAAACAACCAATTTTTTCATGCCATGTTTGCCCATAGTGTCTGCACTTCCGATCCTTGTTATCACGGTTAGACGTTACTGCGAAACTAACATGATTCTTCTCCTCTTCTTGAGTGACTTTTAGAATTCCCTTCTGTTGAGTTATTGTTGAGTAGACACGATTAAGAGGAGCTAGAGGAACCACGACCAATATGTTTGAATGTATGCTCTCGTACCCTTCGTTGTCTAACCCCATCAAGAATGGATGGTCCTCATTTTCATTCTTTGTTTCAACAAGCTTGGAGGTACCACACTTGCACCCACGACACTTGGCGTAAGTAGGAAGTTTTTCGATAGTCCCCAGCTCACCCGAAATAGTCTTCAGTTTGCCAAAGTACGTCACGATTGGTTGTCCATTCTGTTTGCAGTTCAACAATTCTTTCTTGAGTTAATTTACCCGTGGTCCATTCGCCATGGAAAATCTATCTTTAATGTCCTTCCACAGCTCCGCAGCTTCTTCTACTTGTGTGATTGAATTTCGGAGGGATCCATCAATGGTGTTGAAGATCCATGATACCAACATGGCATTCACGATCCACCATTCTTCATCTGCTTCGTCGTCTTCTTTTGGTTGAGAAATGGATCCGTCTATGAATCCAAATTTTCTTTTTGCTCGAAGTGCAATCCACATTACTCGTACCCATTCTTCATAATTATCACTAGTCAATTTAATCTGGGTGATAACTAAAACAGGGGTGTCTGCAGATTTCAGCTCGCAAGGGCCGACCTTTGTGACCTGTTTGTCGCTGTTGTCTTCTTCTTCTCCAAAATTTGGAGAACGAGTTCTCTGTTCTTTCATCGACCATCGCCGTCGGTTGCTAGGCGATGAATCGTCCGGAAATTTGGGCAGAGTTTTAGGTTTTATTCTGCTCCGATACCATGTAGAAATAATATGATAGAAAAATATTTCTGTATATTCAGAGGTTTTGTTCAATTACAAAAATCTTCTCCTTTATTTATTGGAGAGGAGAATACCAAAATAGAAAGGAATGCAAATTCTACAAGGAAACAAATCAAAGCCATCTTAGGAAACCAATATTGAAACAATATCATAATTGGACTAAATTATTGATATTTGATATGTGGGGCTAAAGATGAAAAATGACCTATAACTGGGAATCACTTATAGAATTTACTCTATCTTCAATGTTTTATTCCTACTTTTCCCTTCATAAAAATCACAATCCCTCCATCTCAATATCACCCAATGGAAAAATGAATAAAAATAAAAATAAGTGCACGTGGAATCCCAAATTAAAGCTTCTACTTTCTCCGTTCCACAAAACTCTTCCTCTTTCGTTTTTTGCTTTCCACAAAACACTTCCACTTTCTATTAAAAAACCACTTTTACCTCTACTTTTCCATACCCTACCCATCACATCATACTTTTTCACTAATAACCAAACTATCACATCTTACTGTTTCTCATTATATCATGGGCAAAATTGGAAAGTCAACCAAAATTACACTTTTCTTATTTTCCCCGAAATAAAACCGAAAGGGTTTTGTGGAACAGAGGGAGTATGTGAATACTCAAACAAAAAAAAAGCTTCAGTGCGCCTTTGCTAGCCATCCATTTCAGCAGCAGCAAGCTCACCCAATTCTACAATCCCTCACTCCGCCGTAGTCCGTACGATTACACTTTCACAACTCTCTACCCATTCTATTGTCTCTTCACTTCTCTCTTCTTTCATAATTCTTTTATGCTATCTTTGAGAATATGGATTTGGATTTTCAAATTCAGATTTGGCTCAAATTCAAAAACTTAAAAATTTTGAATTTTGATATGAGTCAAATTCTTCTCATTCATAATAAAGCTTAATTTAAAATCCATGCACTTTCCCTTGTCATTTGAAATTTAAGATTTCAAATTTTGGAATTAAAATGTATAAATTGAAATGAAATGCTAGTTGCCAAATACTACCTTATTGTATTTTGAAATCTCTCAATCCCAAATAAGGATAGCCTAAGGATATAATTTTGATATATCAATTTCTTTTAACATTAATTTATTAAAATTATATTAAATTTATGGTCAATGAATATCTTAGTTTGACATAAAAAATCAAAACAAAAAAATAATTCTGGAACAAAGACTATGGATGAAAGCAAATTTTATAGTGGACCTAAGGTCCACCATGGACTTGCATGTAAGTAAAATAAGCATTTCTTATTACTTAAATAAACATTTATTTTTATATTTTAAAAAAAAGTTTTTTATGTGAAAAGGTTCACAAAAATAATATGTACCCAAGGTGAACCATAGAAACACTCATTGATGAACTCTTGGGGTAATTGTTTTAGCTTTTTTTTTTTGGTTAATTGTTTTAGCCTTTTAGGCAGAGACCGGAAGTGGGCAAGAGAGATGGCAAACAAAATATGGCAGGATTATATTCCAAATTACATACTCCATATATTTTAGTTTATGATGTTTGACTAATATTAGTACAAATACCTAATTGGCATGGGCTGATTATAGTACAAATACGGAATAAAATGGGATGGTTAAATCTTTTTACACTTCATTAACTCAACCTCTCAGTCGAGCGAAACAATTACGGAGTATCAGCTTTTTCACCCCTCCGTGTTATCTATATACTCTTATACCCCAATTCGGCTGTTTCCGCTATGAACTAGTTACAAAAATCATCTTTTTTTTTCTTGTTAACCACATCTTTGAGCCAACAGTTCCTACTAAAAGTTTCACCTCAGATGCCACAGTAACTTCCATTGCAGTCATTTACGTGTTTTTTTTGTGTCCCCAATAAATTCATGTTATCTTGCAACACCGTTCTTATGCCATTAAGGTTTATCGACAGCACTAAACCATCTCCAAGATCTTCATATTGCCCATTGAATTTGCCGCAACTAAGGTGGATGACTTACCATGCCAGCAAACCGATGATATAAACTGTGAGGTGTCATCCACCGCATCGCCAAAAAGTGGGTCCGTGCTAGTAAACTTGTTGGATGATAATGCAGGCATTGGAAAAGCTTTGTGGTAAATGTAAACCTGTACAACACATTACAGAAAAAGCATCAGCACTATCATAAGTGTGATTGGAAAATGAAATGTTCCAAATGAAACTCGGATGGAAGGCCACAAAAACATTTGAAGAAAAAACGGCAAAAGAGAAAACCAGGCAGCTCCAAATTAAGCAGAATGGGCGAAGAAATTGGTTTACACAAAGTGAGGGAGGAAATAACATTACTGTCCTATCGGCTCAAAAGGTCATATGCACTGAACTTGCATATGATATCAATTAAAAACAAAGTAAATAAGCCAATTAACTCGCACTCTGAAGTTGGCTCTAGGAGGTTAAGATGAACACACACCTTCTTACTCCTACCCAAAGAGTAGAGAAGTTATTTTTTAAAAAGAACCCCATTGCGGTAAAAAAAATCGAAGTACAGGTAGAAGTTGCAAAAACAAAAAAAAGTGATGGAACATCAGAACACTGCCTACTCTAAAATATCAAATTAAACATGAAACTATTTTCTTACGTCTTAGGAACCCCAATATACACTTTCAGTCCCTATTCAAAGCATATAGGTCAGAGTATATTTTCATAAAATAAACTGCATGCGGCACAACAATTACATTCCTCGGTGAATGTTAATTATCTAAAAATCTGTTTAATTTTTGGTAGCTGCTAGCTAGTAGAATAAAATAGTAACCTCAGCCTCATATGAACTAGGAAGCGACAAACACTTCCAAAAAAGGTGAAGGAGGAAAATGGGGTGATGAAGGGGAGCAACAGACATTTCTTGCGGGTATGTTGAACATGATGGGGAGATGCCTAATGTGTCCCTTTTAATTTTAATTTTCTGGTAAAATGGGAAGATGCAGGACACTTCATATAAACCACCAAAAGGATTATTTTAGGAGAGACCTTTTTGAATTATTGGATCAAAATGTACTCCGTAAATAACAAGAACCCTAGATATCTCACTCCTATTTAACATCTACCAATTGCTTAATATAAATCACCCAAGGAAACAGATTCTCTTTTAACATTACTATTATGGTATTGTCATCATTTTTACTTTTACTTCATATCATTCTTAGATCTGTGTCTAGGATAATAATTTGTAGATTATTTAATAGTTAATAGACTATTGGTACAAGAATCAATGCTTGACCAAAGCAGTGACAGTTGATTTAAAAGATTTTTGTTTGGGCTACCAACGCTTTAGAATAATTAAAACTTTTATTAACAGAAGTAGGTGGGAAGGATGTGTCCATTAATATTTTCTTAAATATGTCAACATTCATGTGCTTTCTCTGCTTTATATGTCTTCTGTAATCGTGTGCTATCTATGCTACTTGAGCCGAGGGTCTCGTGGGATTCAACTGGGTCGTTGTTTCATGTGGTTAGTGGATGCTAATCATTTTCGCTCTTGCTAATAATCCCATCCATTGTCAATGGAGCTAAAGAGTCAATATTGGCCGTGTTTTCTATATACTTTATGAAACACTAATCAGTTGCATCTTCAAACACATAATGGACTTTCCCCACAATAAACAATCTTTGATTCTTACTTTCTATGAAGATTTGGGAAGTACATGTAGCAATACATCTAGGGTTTTACGGAAACGATATTTCTGTTTTTACACGGGTAAGCCTGCCTACATCTTGACCATCTAAATCCCAACTGAGTTGGGATACAGGGTTGTTGTATTCTTGTTATTAACCATGATGTTTTTTTTTTTTGCTCATAATCAAATGTATTACTACTCCGTATGTACTATGAAGCAATTGCTTTTGTATCTATTTATTTTTGTTTAAAGAAAAAAGATGTGCTTGTTGGATTATAAATGCTCCTTAGATCCCATATATTTCCTCTTCATTTTGACTTGGCACGGATATAAATGTATGATGAAAAATCTTCGACTTTTCAATTTTGCCCTTGCTTTGAGTAATTGTAAAAAGTGACATCTTCCCCTTCATTGAGATTGTCCGTCTGTCTTCTAGAGAAGAAGAAGAGTCTTTCTTCCAGTGTGCAGCATAAAAACTGGAATCAGAAAAGGAACATAACTGTTCTAGGCTTCTCTGCTTATTGGAAATTGGGATCTCATCAACAAATTTACTCTTCTAGGCTTCTCAAAGCGCTGCAACTGCTCCGGCTATGTCCGCCGCTGGCACCAAAGAGCGGAAAAGTGCAGCAAGTAGTGGACAGAGTTTTGAAGGTCCCTGAAGGCTGCGCCAGGTGGAGGGATGATGGAGATATAGTGGGTAGTGGATTGAGGGCAAAAAAAATCAATTAAGACTTAACTTATTTTACAAATAATGAAAGAGTAAGATATGAGACTTCCTAAAAAGGAAAACTGGAAGAATGATATGGGAGTTGGGACAACGGGAGTATACTTTTAATTGCATGGCTTGGTTAATAGTGTGATTATATTGAGAGAATTAGTTCTCCAGCTTCCAAAATACCTCATATTTAAGGAGTGCGAGTGAAATGTCAAAAAAAGCCTTAAAATGAGTCTATCATTCATTGATAAAGCACCATGCTTTATTAACAAAATTCGAAAAGTGGATAACTAATCAAGGATGCACAAAAACTTGAAAATGTAGAACTACATACAGACGGAGGGAGTATAAGATTTCATTTCTATGTTATGTATGTGTGTTAAATCTTATACATTGTCTCAATATTCTACAATTTTTGAGTCTCTAAATCTCAAATACAAGGCCCTACACTGATTCTATTTTCACTTCTAAAATGCACTTCTCACTTGAACTGTGGAACACACACACATAGTTTCCATGTTCCTGTCATACGCACGTCACATAACTTTAAAAAATGTCATTTCTAGTATATGTACCAACTCGTGTGAGGGTTTCACATCTGTTTTTGAAGTATTGCTTCACAACAAGACTCAAGTGTTTTGAAAGTGTAATAAAAAAAAGTCCAAAATGAAAATGACAAGAGCAGTACCTCATTTGTTTCTGAACCAGTTGCAATGTAACCATCACATACAGAGAGGCCGACAAAGTTCTGTTAGAAGGACACTCTTCATTAGCAGTGATTCAGTAAATCATGTTTTAAACACATCTTTAATTTTAAATTAATCATTGTAAATGGAACTGAAGAAAAATATAGGGAGGCAAAAAGGGGCAGATACACCAGTGATGACACTTAAGTACTGAGCATCTCATTACATGTAATTCTTTATACATCTTCTATTCTTCTTTAAATTAAGAATGGTACTTGATAAATATAATGCACGACTTGGTGGTTTTAGTTATAATTCATCCGAGACAAGATCCTTATATTCTTCTTGGTGTCAGGAATAGTAACTCACATATGAACTTATAATAGAGACCAACCATACAAATAATTTACCTATTAGCAAACTTAGGCTCTGTTCCGTTCAACTTATTTTTTCTAATCTGACTTGATTTTTTGTAGTTCTGATCTGATCTGATCTGATCAGGTTTGATCTGATTGGATCTGATCTAATCTGATCTGATCTGATCTGATTGGATCTGATCTGGTCTGATCTGATTGGATCTAATCTGATCTAGTCTGATCTGATTGGATCTTATCTTATCTGATCTCATCTGATTGGATCTGATCTGATTAATTATGATTTGATTTAAAATTCAAATCAATAATTTGATTTGAGTTTATAATAACGTTTGAAAATTGTAATGATAATTCATACTTCCTCTGTCCACCATAGATCTTCCCAGACACTATTCACAGGGTCAAACTTTACTCACTTTGTTTGCTCAATTTTACTAGTCATTTCATAAAATAATATAGTCTTGTCACCTCTAGTTTTGTAGAACTTTTCATGTAGTTTATTACTATATAAATTTTATTTTAAAATTTTACTCCTATAATCAATTAAATTGAATTGAAAATAAAGTCGGTCAAGCCTCGTAACGCGTAATGGGAAGATCATACATGGACAGAGGGAGTATTATAATATAATCAATATTTTTTATTTTATAATTATTTTTTAATAAAATAATTAATTTATATATTAGAATAATCATTCATATTTTAATGTAATAATATTTTTTATTTTATGATTATTGTTTGTGAAATAAGAATATTGATTTAATATTTTAATAATTAGTTCATACATAATTAGAATAAATATTTAATTTATATAAAATCAGAAGAGATAGTATTTTTATTAAAATATCTCATCCTTATAAAAGATCAAAACCTTAGAAACTCAAATTACAAGTAGCAATAAAAATGTATTTTAAAAGTAGAATTAGATTGACATTGTCAATGTATTTTAAAAATAATTTTTTTGACGTCTAATAATTAAGGATTAATTTCTCAGTTTTCTATTTAACTTGTTTCTAAAGTTTACTCTTTTTCATTTTTAAGAAGAAGAAGAAGAAGAATAATAATAATAATAATAATAATAATAATAATAATTCTTTATGGGATCTGATCTGGTCTGGTCTGATCTGATTGGATCTGATCTGATCTGATTAGATCTGGTCTGATCTAATCTGATTGGATCTGATCTGATCTAATTTGTTCTGATCTGATATGATTCCATCTGATCTGGTCTGATCTGATTTTAATAAGAGTAAGAAAAAATAAGAAAAAATAAGTTGAACGGAACAGGGCCTTAATAAGAATAAAAAAATAGGGCCTTAATAAGAATAAAAAAATAGTTGAGTGAAAGACATCACATAAGAATTGTTGTTGACCGAATATAAACATCATTTGCACCATTGACATAGTAAACCAAGAAGAATTTATCAATTAAACTAATTAATAATTAGACACCATAAAAATATTAAGTTTACATGAGATAAGGATTAGGTTACATTTAAGTATATTTAGCACGTTTAGAGGTAATTCAAAGTAGACCGCCTAGTTGCAATGACTTTGGACTCACACAACTTAATTCTCTACATAGTTAATTCCAAACCCGGCTACATTCTCAAAAAATTGTCAAAGCTTAATGAAAAATACCTTTACATTCATGTGTCCACTGTATGACTGGATAGGGCAATCAAGAATCCGAGATGTGCACATTGACAAATCCCAAAGCTTTATTGTGTTATCAGTCGATGCAGACACAAGTGTTGTTGAATCAATAAACTTGACATAGCTCACCGTCTTGTTGTGGCCAATTAGAGTGCATAAAGGAATTTTAGAATTTCGCAGATCATAGTAATAGATTCTATGATCTGCAGAACCAAATGCAAGGGAATGGCCAGAATCAAAGGGAAACTGAACACAGCATACATTTGCTTTTGTTCTGATGGTTCCAACACTGGCACTCTGCAAAGGCAATGCATGTGAGAAAAATAAACTCCTACAAATTGAGTATATTATAAACACTGAATAAATAACTGCAAAACTGTTGTATGCTTAGTTTCAAAGTTCAGAGGTAGAACTGCCTGATTGATGTTCCATAGTTTAACAGATCCATCGTCACTGCCGCTGGCCAACATAGTTGGATCTGCAACTGAGAAGTCCACAGACCAGACCCTCCTCTCATGCTCTCTCATTTCCATGAAAAGTTGGCTCCTTGTGACATCCCATACCTGGGAAAAGGATTATTGCAGGATTCAGTTTTTGTGCAATTTCAACAGGAAAGATGTCATGACACAATGAGTATCTGACCTACCTGCACTACACCTTCAAAGTTACTTGAAGCAATTTGGCTTTTGATATAACTATTCCAACAAATACTGCTTAGCTTTGATTTACTGGCCATTTCAACAACAGGATAATGAATATCATGATCTTCATTTAAGATTGAATTGTATTCAAAGACCTTGATTTTCTTATTTACACCAGCACTTGCAAAAAATTCACCATCACGGTCAAAGCTGAGAGAGCATACAAGATTTGAAGAATTTAGTAGATCCCCTTGCTTCAAGTCTGCCTTCACTTCTAACTTACTGAAAGAGAGATACTTGCACAAGCCTTCTAGGAATGAATTGATCCATCCACTTTGTGTTCCCTTATTGTAGCTTCCCTTTGATGACAAATTACTGACAGAACTTTTTTCAGCCACTACGGCAGAACACTTGCCATCACTACTTATATGAGGATGTCTGCTCAAGGGTTTACCGGCAGGTTTTAAAGATCTGCGTCTAGTCAAGTAATAAGCTGCCTCTATCTTTTTGAAATCGTTCATCAACCGGGAACTTTTTGAGAGAAAGGTCCCTTCATTTTCAACATGTGTCTTTGATATTATATACTCATCTGATTGGTTGCCGGACACCTCCGAATAGCAGGTACCAAGACCTGGCCTTGATCGCTTTCTAGATCCTCTGTTTCCATTATCATCATCATTTTGAGGCCTACTAGTCCTGTTTGACGGTGGATCCTTGGCCACTGCCAGGTCAGATGCTCCCTTTATCCTCATTGCTGTCTTCATATTTGTAACTTCTTCTATATCCGTAGATAGAAAAGACACTGTTTCATTCAAAATTTCTGCAGCCTCTAATTTTTTCTGTTGCATGAGCAAAAGAAACTCCAACAACAGTTCCTGCTCCGCTATTTTTTCTCTAAGCTCTATTGCTGCTTCTTGGTCTTCAAGCTGTTCTATTGGATCATTCAAGAACTCACTTTGTGATAACTCGCTGTTATTATTGATGATTTGAGTATAAGAATGAAAATACGAGGGCATACCGTGTAATTAAAAATCATGGTTAAACTATTGCTGATAATTACATATTTCAAGATCTCTTTCAATGTAATTCAAATTAAAAAAATAACTGTTAGTGTGAGTTCATGAATGATCCTGACCGTTCATGTTGCAAATGCATTGCAAACCAATTTTTCTGATAGAAAATGATAATGCTTTAGTAGAGTAAGAACACTTGATAGGCAAAAACAATTATTTTCCATCCAGTGGGCAATATAGTTTTCATGCTGATGTTTGAATCATCCTTGATGCAGAAAGTAAATAAGCAATAACCACAAAGATGTTATATTGTTAAATTTGCACCTCAAACAAAAAATAAATCAGCAGATAAGATTGTATCATCACGTGTACCTACACCTTACCCCTACTTGGAAGTAGAGAGGTTGTTACCAAGCAACCCAAGTTCAAATACAGAACTACAGGCAAGCAAATCATAATATCACTAATGTATTATGAGTAAAGAGTAGGGAGAGAAGTACATATACCAAATCAAATATTACTTGCACAAAAATTCATGTAAAATCCCATAAAAGCATATAGGTACGTTTAGGGTGGATGGAATTATATGAGAAGCATTTGAGTAAAAATCATGCTGCAGTACACAATTTAAACATCACATATTATTAAGATGACAAGAAGAAATATGAGTCTCACCCCAAATTTGGCCTACTGCTGGGCTCAGGGTGCAGTAACCACAAGCAAAATGAAGCTTCTTTGGGCCACTTCAAAAGCAATTGGGTTGGGAGGACTCGGTGTCTCAGATTAGACATAGTGATACTCTTCTCTTCTAGTGAATTGGATGTGGAGAACAGCTGCTCAAAAGAGAGAGGTACTAGCCATGAGGGTAGGAAATACACCCTCCGTCCCAATTCAATTATTCACTTTCTTGTTTCGTTTGCCCGAAATTAGTTGTTCACTTTCCATATTCAATAAAGAAATTATGATGAATTATCTCATATATCCTAAAAATAGGCTATGAGCATTGTTCACATAAATGAACTCATCAATGAACTGACAAACTCATTTGAAGGACTCATTAGACATTTTAAACTCATTTCTTAAACATGATATTTTTTAAAAAAAAAAAGGACAAATGAATTCGGACGGAGGGTGAGAATCATAAGCCATGCCTAATTTAGTCGTACTAACCACTAACCTCAAAGAGGAGAACTCCAAGTCGATAAATGTCAGAAGCACAGGAGCTTGGAGCACCGGCAACCTCTTCTGGGCTAGTATACCAATTGATTTCCAAAAGCAATATCTGTTTCATAGGAAATGGAAGCTTCTCTTCCACCTCCATTTGTTGGCTCTTAGAGGTTTCAGAACATGGCTTAGCATGCTCTGATTGCTGCTGTTGGCAAACCGTTTCAGACACTATGGGTAACATATTGGTAGGATACCTCTCAAGTTGCGACCTGGGTGTTACCAACGGCCATCCTTCTAGTTCAGAGTCACGAGGAGAAGATGAAATTGAACCCTTAAACTTTGCTGTTTGGCTGTTTAACCTAACTTCAAGTAAACCCAAAGTAGAATTAGAGCATGATGCCAATTCCATAAAGGAGACACGGTTGAATGAGGATAACACAAAGCACGAGGGTCGCAAATTATGGAAGACATTTCCCTGAGAATGTGACATGTGAACAATTTCTACAACTTGAGTGAATATTTGCAAACATTCAAGAGCGTCCACTGCTCTTTCGGGATCGTCCAGCCACTTTCTCAAATTAACCACCCTACCATATCTGTCAGGCGCTAGCTCACTCTCAGGAAACTCGGAGTGGGATCTCCACCGATACATTTTAGGCAACAGAACAGTTTCACTTCCCTTACGAGCAAGTAATGCATTACTAGATGACTTTACTGTGCTTCCCTGAACCAATTTGGGATTTCTTTCAATGAAGGGTGAAGACTTCAACCATCTGGAACCATCAGACTTCTGCAAACCAGACTCAGAAGAACCCTCCATTGTTATCTACATATAATTATTGCAAGAGACCCAATGCACAGCCACACAATCAAGATCTTGGGGAATTCTCAGACTCACAAAATATTACTGTTTTTAGCATAGCCATGACTAATAAAGAATACAGTTATATAACCCGAAATCACTCAATCCTATCATCTCAACTCGCCCCTCAGGTCACTTGCGACCTTACGAACGCAGCAAGAAAAGGAACACACGCTACTCTCAGCTCTCAATCGTACAAAACAACAACCAACCAAGAGAATAAAAATATAATGATCACATTCATATGAGAGAGAGAGATAAGATACAGCAGTCTGCGCAATAGATGGAGCTCAGATGCTTTAACAGTTCAATGTGAGCCAGAGCAAACAAAATAACTACAACCACACAACAGATAGTTAAAACCCAGAACAGAACACAGTGCTTTTATTCCAGGATGCACCGCAGCCTCACGAATTTCCTGCTACGTATATGACACAGAGTACTACTTTAATAAATAAATAAATAAATCGTACGGAGTATATAACAGTTGAACCAAACTTTTCAAAAATGTAAGAGTACAAAAAAGAGACAGAGAAGACAGCTTTTTTTTCCAACCGGCAGAAAACTACTTATACTGGCATTGGGCGCAGTAACAGTGCGCAAGAAGATTGTGCAATTTAGATACCCTAGCGTGCTTCTTTTTTATCTCCATCCTATTCAATCCCGCTCCTATTCCGTCGCATGAAACGTGGCTCGTTCTCATCCTCTCGAAACCCCATAGGCAAAATTGTAAATTCCGATCGACTTCGGGCCCATCACAGACCTGCAACAAGCAATCACCACGCGGATGGGCACTGCCACAATAAACTCAATTCCAAAGAGTTACCGATATCAGGATGAAGAATTTATGGAAAAGGGGAGAAAAAGGTTGGTATTTATGACAATGCCCTCCTAGATCTAACACAGATTTGTCTGAGGCGCGTCCGCTCTACTTGCGTGAAATGAGGAGAAATGACAGAAAGGCCCTTCCAAACAAGAAACAAAATGTTACTGTTTATGACCGTTACTTCAAAAATTAAACGGAAATATTAAAATTAACGACCAGCTGTTTGGTTGCCTTCGAAGCGTCACGATGATTTTCGGAAAGGCCAAACGGCATCGTTTGAAGCGCCAACCCCTCCTTAATCCCCCGACCAGTCTTCGGAAACAATACGCCTTCATCAATCGAAACTCTTTTGCTCTTCGTTCTCCATTGCATATCGTCGTCGGATACCTTCAAGAACTACCACACATCTGTTTGCCATGGAGAACACCGGAGCAAGTTGCGGCAACCAGTACAAGAGAAGAAGAACTCTCACCCAAACACGAAGGGAGGAGATGGAGAATGAAAACCAGGTATTTTCAAATAATCCTCACCGAAAATTAACTAATTTTGGTTTTATTTTGAACTATTTGGGATTGGTGTCAGATTTCTGCTGAGGTAACTCCATCTGTGGAGGGTGAATCGTTCCCGGATGCTTCGGAAATTGAGGTGCATTGCATGTACACTAAAATATAACATTTAAAGTTTATTTTGTTTGTTTTTGAAACATTCGGAAACAGAACAAGTTATTCGACCATGGAAATCATAAATATAATGTTACAGTAATTGGTTACAGTCGAATGCAGTCGAATCTATTTTTTGATTAGTTCGGGATTTTAATTCTAGGTTCCAGCGTTGGATTGCACCATTGATATTGATAAAATACCTGGAATGAAGTTAACCTTGAAATCTTCTTTGGGGGAGTTCCAGAATCTGATGGGCGAAGGACTTGGAGATCATCCAGAAGTCCTTGATTTGTTTAGGGAGAACACCCCTTTTTCTCATTTTTTGGATGTTGAGTGTATTCCTCCTCCTCTGTTCCTATGGCAACTCATTGCGAGGGAAGCCAAAATAAAGAGGAAAGGAGAGATGTGGTTCGTTGTCAAAGGAGTTCCTGTCAGGTACTCCTTGAGGGAGTTTTCACTCATAAGCGGCCTCAACTGCTCTCACCTTAACGTCGGCTTTGAAAATTCTAAAGAATTAACCTCTGCAAAGAATGATTTCATTCGAGCTCACTTTCCTTCTCCAAAGAAGGGAAAGAAATCTGCTGCAGTCACATACAAGATGGTTGTGCAGCGTTTCTTGGACATTGGTAAAGGCTTGGACAGGGAAAAGAAGAAACAAGGCCAGGAGATGGATGCTGTGAAAATGGCAACACTATTGTTTGTTGTTGTTGTTCTCTTGGGTCCTGCTGATTGCGACAAGTCTGCAATTCTAGACAAGATTCTGGGCATGATTGCACAGTGGACAGCAGTTCTAGGTTTCTCATGGGGAACCTGGGCATTTATGGAGTCCTTGGGGTCACTGAGGAAAGACCTAGCTACCAAGGCCAAATCAATTGGAAGAGGGGCCTCATCAACCATGTACTATACTGGTTTCGTGCTTCCCATTGGGGTAAGGATTTTTTCAATTATAATATTTCTTATAATTTTTATTGAAATGTGATCTCATTGAAACTTTCAATATGAAAAGATCCTTTTTCTAGAGCGTTGCTGTAACAACCTAATCCGTTCAGTTCTGCAGCCCCTTTCAGATATTCAATAATCATTAGTCAGTATTCATCATTCATTATTCAATATTTATATTCATATTCGACGTTCCTCGGTTATTAATAATATTCACAATATTCAATTCAATAATCAATATTCAATATTCATTCATATTCAATATTCAACATTCGACAATATCCTTAAACTATTCTTAGTCTAAGGCCAATCATTTTAATATTTGTCAACCCTTACACGAATTCTAGTTTAAATANGCCTCCGTCTGTCTCCAGGATCACGTCACATCATCCTATTGACCTGCGTGTAGCAAATAAAACATACTACACGCTCAGCATTGAAGCTGAGGAAGCATATCTAATGCGTCGAACATCCATATAAACTGAATCTAAATTCATAATCAAATCATTTGATATCATGCACATAATGTTCAGTTCAGATATTCAATAATCATTAGTCAGTATTCATCATTCATTATTCAATATTTATATTCATATTCGACGTTCCTCGGTTATTAATAATATTCACAATATTCAATTCAATAATCAATATTCAATATTCATTCATATTCAATATTCAACATTCGACAATATCCTTAAACTATTCTTAGTCTAAGGCCAATCATTTTAATATTTGTCAACCCTTACACGAATTCTAGTTTAAATATATGAACTATATTCCAGTATAAAGTATTCCTAAATAATCCTTAAGCTAGGCCTAGTTTAAGATAAAAGGGTTTTGAAAATCTTAAACTTACCTTCACTTAAGGCCAACCAAAAACCGACAGCGTAGTGTTCACTGTTGGGTGGGTGGTACCCCCAAACGAGTAGGTACTCAAGTTTGGTTCTTGGATCTCGTACGTACGATTTAACCCTAGCAACCGGGTTTTATACCCGCAAGGCCTAACTTAAATAGGTATATCTTAGAGGTCTTCTAGATACCTTTCAAATCAACATTAATATGGGTATATCTTAGAGGTCTTCTAGATACCCTAAACAATATATTATTTTCACAATCATCAATATATTCATTATGATTTAATCATTCACAATTATCGTTTTTAATCAGAATATTTATTAAGATTTAATCATCATAATTATCAATCAATAATCATTATCATAATCATCAATCAACATAATATTCAATAACAATTAGCGGCCTAGCTTCGGGTGTTAACACCCTAACTTACTGTCATGCATCACATAAAATTTTATTCATTAAAAACATTACTTTTAATGTGAAAAATCATTTTTATAATGATCATAATCAATTGGTATCAAAAATAGGATTTTAGAGCTCAAAAATAACATTTTCAGATAAATTTTCGGATCAGAAATTCGGGGGATCGATCCAGCCCTCTGGATCGATCCATATGTAGAGAAAATACTCCTAGAGGATCGATCCAGGCCATTGGATCGGTCCAGACAGTCTGGTTTTTTGGTTACTGTTCATCTTCTTCTTCGTTCGGGTCCAATTTCGAAAATACCGTTTTTAGTTACCGAACTTCAACGAAACTATATAGAGATGTTCTCCAAGGTTCATAGATCATTTTGGCATCATTAATTCATAGTTTTAACATCAATTCCATGGTTTATGATTCTTGGTTCTTCAAGCATGTCAAACACAAAACTCAACCAAACGACCGTTTATGAACGTAGAAACGATCTATATGAATATTCTAGTCACTAGATATATCTACGGGCTTACCTTGAAGGTAAATGAAGGTTTTGAAGATTTTCCGGCGAAACTTCTAACGAGGATAGTTCTCAACTCCGGCGACCTTACACCAAATTGACAGCACCACTGCGTTCTCCACACTCAAGGCTATCTCTCAGAATGAATTTGATGAAGAATGGTGAAGAAATTGTGAAGTTTTGGTTTCCATTATATAGAAGAAGAATGGAGAAGAAGCCATTGGTTCCTGTGTCACCTTCTCTATTTGAGCGGCTAGTGGAGCGGACGGCGATTTCTTCCCATTTCAAANAGGTTTTGAAGATTTTCCGGCGAAACTTCTAACGAGGATAGTTCTCAACTCCGGCGACCTTACACCAAATTGACAGCACCACTGCGTTCTCCACACTCAAGGCTATCTCTCAGAATGAATTTGATGAAGAATGGTGAAGAAATTGTGAAGTTTTGGTTTCCATTATATAGAAGAAGAATGGAGAAGAAGCCATTGGTTCCTGTGTCACCTTCTCTATTTGAGCGGCTAGTGGAGCGGACGGCGATTTCTTCCCATTTCAAACGCAAGTCCCTGATTGGGACTAATTTGGTCCCAGTCGGGGAACACTTTTTGGTCCAACTTTCTCCGAATTGAATTCCGTTTGCACCGTTGCGATCGTATAATTAAACTCTATCCAACTATATAATTTTTATATTTATTCGTTGTACTTTTTCCGACATCATATTTTTAGGTGGTTGACTTTGACAGAGTCAAAATTGATTTTGTTGACCTTTACTCAGAAAGGTTTTTACATTTCATTCATATTATTTATTCTCATGATTTATTTCAATAAATCATTTCAAAGTTTACATCACAAACAAATTCTTCATTTATTCTTGATTTGGGTCTGTACTCAGGTTTTCAATCAAGGTCACATAGTAAGTCAACATATTGGATTTATCTCTATTAGATTTATCCGGATTATGATATTGGATATCAAAACATATTTTATTTTGGGCCAAGGACCAACAACAATTTATTTTTAATCAAAACAAATTTATTTAACTGTATATTTAATTCAATAAATATTAGGGTATGTTTTGGGGCGTTACATTTCTTCCCCCTTAAAGGAATTTCGTCCTCAAAATTCTTTTAAGGCTCAACGTTCAAAATTTTGTAGTGATCATACTTAATCATGACCGTGACATGTTTATTTGGTTAAACCATAATTTCGTCATTATCCATACAGATATATATTCTCAAACGGTCAATGTTATCAGACTTGTTTTTTTCAAGAGATTAATAATTTTAGATTAAGCAAGGTATTCAACGATCTTTTTTGCAGGTTCCCGTTCGGATTCAACATCCATAACCAAGAGTCCTTTGTAGGGTATAACATCATATTCCAGAGCATACTTGACATATTTGCACATCACTTCATTCATTCACGATTCTCAATTGTACAATGTCGATTAACAATATTCTTTCTTCGATCGAAAGTCCTTTAGTAGCCTTTGCAGTTTCATGTTCGCAATAGATGTAGTGGAGCATATGGAGGTTATATAATTCATACGTCATAGCGTAACTTTCTCAAGTTACTTAAGTCATCTTCATCTCGTTCACATAGTTAAACAATGATTTCGTAAGTACATCAATGGCTTTTAGTGGTCCAAGATTCTCAAGATATGGAATTTGTCATCATTTACGAGGAAGTACTGTTGATTGATCATCGATTTACATCGGAATATTTCTTCATTCACTTCATGGTAGCTCTCATTATTGTTAATAAGTCTTTGTATTAATTCGTATCCACAGGTGATTACGTTAGAGTGGCGTTTCATATACGTCTTGTCGTATTCAACTTTCTTCATCGATTTTGGAATATATCCAGATACGTTCTTGATAATGACGGGTTTGATGTAACACTATGGTTGATTTTATTTCGAGTGAAGAAGGAAATATATTCGGTATGAGATTCAATTCACGAATTCATAAAGTAAGAAATCTTACTAGTTCTTACTCCAATATTATATATAGGTTGGGGATTTTCGCTCTGAATAATTTTAGCTTGATCCTTGTAACGTCATTTCTTCTCTGGTCGTAGCACATATATTCCCTTGTTGGGGTCAAAACAGAGTTTCTTGATAATAATCTTCATAAATAACGTAATCGCATTAACTGTTTCGCAGCAGTTCCCTAGAGAGGTTTAACATAATGTTCAAGTCAGGGTAGTTTTACTATTGTGATCGAGTCACGTAGTTCACAGACTATAGTTTTCAAAGATCGGTATCATGAAGCATCTTTGGTTTAATGAAGAATCGTGGTTTTAGTATTTTGACACAAAGAATGGAATTCAAGATCGATCAAGAGAGGTATTTCAAGGGTGTAGTTAACACATCAAGTCGAGTCATTCAAGGATGTGAGTCACAAGCTACAAACATAACGTTTGCAAATTATCGTTACTAATCGTAGATTTTCATCCTTCAATGTTTCACTCTGTGGAAGTTACTCAAGAGGTCGTTGTCTTATGAAATAGTCGTTCTGACTTTTCGTCTCGGATTTGAACGTGTTTCAAGATAGCAAATCTAACTGTTCAAGAGTCTCAATATGTCATATCGTCAGCAGACTGTAGTATTGGCGAATGCGTTCTCGTCTGTAGGTAAATCGATTCCATATTACTGTACGTATTTTGGCTATTGATAATTACATTTCCATCAATGGTCAGGTTTCAGAGACTATATATATCACAATTATGAAAAGAGTATCTCACATTCTCACATTATGGAAGGAACTTCTCAAACACTTCCTTACACCATAAGATTCGTTGGTTTACTTGGCAGTCATTCTCTTGGTAAAAATCCAAAGTTTATGGCTACTGCAGTAGATTTAGGAAGAGAATTGATAAGGCGAAGAATTAGTTTTGCTTATGGAGGAGGCAACGTTGGCCTACAAGGAGCTGTTGCTTCAACAGTCTTCAACAATGGTGGTCTCGTTAGAGGTTTCATTCCTGGGTACATAGCAACACGACGGGTCTACGGACCTACATATGGCATAGAGCACACAATTTCGAGCAATTACTACAGATATTTTGAGATGGATCATGCTGTGGAAGCTTTCATCGTTCTTCCCGGAGGAGTTGACACTATGGAAGGTTTGTTCACCTTGATCTCGTGGGCTTCTGAAGGGTTACACAATAGACCCATTGGTCTCTTGAACATTGACGGTTATTTCAATAACCTAATCAAATTTCTAGACGATGCAGTGAGGCAGAACTTCATGTCTTTGAGTCAGGGGAAACTTTTCATTTCTTCTTTCTTTGTTGGTGAGCTTTTAGACAAGTTAGAGTTTGCTAAAGCTTTCCCGGGACCAGGGGTTAGTTACGATGAGTTTGTGAATCCTGGAAGACTAGACTTAGAATTGCATTTGTAACATTCCTCTTGTAATTCAAGTTGTATTTTGTGTTGCAATGATATTATCCATAAATATTCTCCTAGGTTGTATGGCTAGTGCGAGCTATATTTTCTTCATTCTTCAGTCTTTCACTATTGATGTCACTGTCTTGTTTTGTATCGTCACCATGTCGCAATCTTTCAGGTCAGTAGGGTATACGAACGAGTCAATTATCTTAATGATTTGTCTTGTGAGCGTCACTTTACTTCATTTTATCAATTCAGACTACATCGACGTTTTTACGATAAACAACTAAATCATTAGTCGTTTCATAGCAAGGCATCAGTTCATTCAACAAGGTCGAGATGTCCGTAGCTTTTAACAAACAGGTTCTTCCAAAAAAAATCGTCTATACGTAGTAAAGGGTAGCGATTCTTAATCATCAGTTTGTTCATCATTCTTAACAGGGATGTGATAGTATCTTGACCGTAAGTCAATCTTAGAGAATACAATGGATCCTCTAAGCTGATCAAATAAGTCATGATACGAAGTAAAGGGTAACGAATCGTTCAACTGACAGTAGTTGATATAGAGTCTCATTGATTCTTCCTTATTCACGTTTGAACAAAATAGGTATTCAAAGAGAAAACACTTGATTAAATGATTCCTTATTAAGAAATCCTTAAGTTTTAAATTTCAACGGAAAGATATTCAATGTGGAGTTTACATTTCAATACATGCATAATTGTATTGAATTATTGAATAAGGAAATATTTTAATGATGACACCAGAGTTTTCTTCATCGCGGTCTTTCACTGCATACGCATGTGCATGATTTTATTTGTGGATCATTTCCTGCTGGTGCAAGCTGGGCTAAGGTAGACTGTCTTTGAACAGGGCCATCGGCATTGGTTTTTCAAGGGTTTGTAGGACATTCCTTTCGAAAATGCCCAGATTTACCACAACCTATACATAATCCTTGTGTCATCTAACATTCTCCTAGGTGATGTCTTCTACAAGTGTTACACTTTAGATGTTTCCACACTCTCAATTTGTGTTGAGTTAACAAAGGTTTTCTTCTTTTCGAGGATGGGACACTACAAGTTCCAGTCAAAGGCTTCTTTCCTTTTTGGGTATCGCACGAATAGACTTCACACTTGAGATGTTTTCGCATATATATTCGAGAGGAACTTGGTCGGTTTAGAAATCAGCTTTGCTTTCACCTCTATAAGGTTACCATCATTGGTCTTTAGTTGAGGAATTCTTCATTACAAGTTGACAACAGCAACGGCGTTTAGTTAGTTAATGTATACTAAGGATAATGTCGATTTCCTTGTATGGTAATTCAACGATGTTTTACAAAGAATTGTCGCTTAACAAACGATTTCGATTCACATTAAGTAATCGCATAATGTGTCCTAATGAGTCAAACAATAGTATCAGATACTTTAGATAACAGAGTTTATTGATTCTAAACGTTCATGTTTGAATCAGCGATTAGATCGTCTTGAGTCCGCATGAGGATCTTTGACATCGGCTTCACAGATGTTTCTCAACATTTATCGTTTCTTCATAGTCGTCTCACTTTCGTACATTTTGCGATGCAGACCAGTTTCGCCATTTGCGATGCGAAGGGTATGTTGATAACGTATCAGGAGATTATAATTATTTCGTTTATTCTTGTCTCTTCACCGAGTACCAAAGTTCAACTAGAGTCTACACTCGATACGGTTTCAGTACTAATCAATTGTTATTTAATGAGAATTCTAACAGAGTCATTATTTACTAAATAAATTCTCATACCTTTTTCCTGGAGTAGAGGAACGCGAGAGTCGTGGATGTGATTGACAATATTCTTTTTTTACCCTAAATATATAATATATATTTTTAAATCAAACATTGATCCAAAGATCGTGTTTAAAACCATGTGCTCTGATACCAAATTGTAACACCCTAATCCGTCCAAGTCTGCAGTCCCTTTCGGACTAAAGTATTAACTTGGTAATCGTAAAAATTTAAAACATTTCGAACACTTTTATTTATCATAATAATATTTTTCATATCATAAACAGTACGGAGTTTTCAATATTGCGGAAGCTCAACAAATCATAATGACAAACACAATTTATTTATGTATATTAATTGAAAACCATCACATCCATTCCGACAATCTCGCCTCCGTCTGTCTCCAGGATCACGTCACATCATCCTATTGACCTGCGTGTAGCAAATAAAACATACTACACGCTCAGCATTGAAGCTGAGGAAGCATATCTAATGCGTCGAACATCCATATAAACTGAATCTAAATTCATAATCAAATCATTTGATATCATGCACATAATGTTCAGTTCAGATATTCAATAATCATTAGTCAGTATTCATCATTCATTATTCAATATTTATATTCATATTCGACGTTCCTCGGTTATTAATAATATTCACAATATTCAATTCAATAATCAATATTCAATATTCATTCATATTCAATATTCAACATTCGACAATATCCTTAAACTATTCTTAGTCTAAGGCCAATCATTTTAATATTTGTCAACCCTTACACGAATTCTAGTTTAAATANAGATACCTTTCAAATCAACATTAATATGGGTATATCTTAGAGGTCTTCTAGATACCCTAAACAATATATTATTTTCACAATCATCAATATATTCATTATGATTTAATCATTCACAATTATCGTTTTTAATCAGAATATTTATTAAGATTTAATCATCATAATTATCAATCAATAATCATTATCATAATCATCAATCAACATAATATTCAATAACAATTAGCGGCCTAGCTTCGGGTGTTAACACCCTAACTTACTGTCATGCATCACATAAAATTTTATTCATTAAAAACATTACTTTTAATGTGAAAAATCATTTTTATAATGATCATAATCAATTGGTATCAAAAATAGGATTTTAGAGCTCAAAAATAACATTTTCAGATAAATTTTCGGATCAGAAATTCGGGGGATCGATCCAGCCCTCTGGATCGATCCATATGTAGAGAAAATACTCCTAGAGGATCGATCCAGGCCATTGGATCGGTCCAGACAGTCTGGTTTTTTGGTTACTGTTCATCTTCTTCTTCGTTCGGGTCCAATTTCGAAAATACCGTTTTTAGTTACCGAACTTCAACGAAACTATATAGAGATGTTCTCCAAGGTTCATAGATCATTTTGGCATCATTAATTCATAGTTTTAACATCAATTCCATGGTTTATGATTCTTGGTTCTTCAAGCATGTCAAACACAAAACTCAACCAAACGACCGTTTATGAACGTAGAAACGATCTATATGAATATTCTAGTCACTAGATATATCTACGGGCTTACCTTGAAGGTAAATGAAGGTTTTGAAGATTTTCCGGCGAAACTTCTAACGAGGATAGTTCTCAACTCCGGCGACCTTACACCAAATTGACAGCACCACTGCGTTCTCCACACTCAAGGCTATCTCTCAGAATGAATTTGATGAAGAATGGTGAAGAAATTGTGAAGTTTTGGTTTCCATTATATAGAAGAAGAATGGAGAAGAAGCCATTGGTTCCTGTGTCACCTTCTCTATTTGAGCGGCTAGTGGAGCGGACGGCGATTTCTTCCCATTTCAAATGCAAGTCCCTGATTGGGACTAATTTGGTCCCAGTCGGGGAACACTTTTTGGTCCAACTTTCTCCGAATTGAATTCTGTTTGCACCGTTGCGATCGTATAATTAAACTCTATGCAACGATATAGTTTTTATATTTATTCGTTGTACTTTTTCCGACATCATATTTTTAGGTGGTTGACTTTGACAGAGTCAAAATTGATTTTGTTGACCTTTACTCAGAAAGGTTTTTACATTTCATTCATATTATTTATTCTCATGATTTATTTTAATAAATCATTTCAAAGTTTACATCATAAACAAATTCTTCATTTATTCTTGATTTGGGTCTGTACTCAGGTTCTCAATAAAGGTCACATAGTAGTCAACATATTGATTTATCTCTATGAGATTTATCCGGATTATGATATTGGATATCAAAACATATTTTATTTTGGCCCAAGGCCCAACAACAATTTATTTTTAATCAAAACAAATTTATTTAATTGAATATTTAATTCAATAAATATTAGGGTATGTTTTGGGGCATTACAGTTGCTTGGGGACTGGAACAAATATTACAACAAGAAGCCCACAGACATCCCCAGCTAGGCCAAGAATCTGCCTTTGGGGTGAGATTCCAATAAAGATGAAAATCACCCACACATAAATGGATGCTTACGTTGGGGACATGTAGGTATATACATATTATTGGTCAATAAAGATTAAAAATTTAAGGAATTCCAAAAATAAAGTGTCATTGTTTTGGTTGCAGGCTCTAGAGAGCATTCTTGTTCCCTACAAGTTTGAGGCTACTGTAGAGTGGTATTTGAACTTTCATCCTCTAGAGACCACAACACACCCTGAGTGGGATGCATTTGTGGCAAAATTAGAGGGTAGAGGGGAAGTCCACATTCTGATGGAGAGGAAGAGAAAAGCCCGGAATGTCCCTTCACCAACTAGAGATAATTCTGTAAAGCGTAATGAGCACATCTCCTCTCCCCAAGCATCTCAGAGGAGTCAGAGCTTTAGGGAATCTCCTTCTAGAGTCTCCCATTCCAACATCCCAACTCCATTGTCTCCTACCCCTCACCCCACCAAGCCTGCATCCAATTCCTTTCAAGAACTCTTTGATCGAATGTCAAAGAAAATTGATGACATTGCAGAAGAACAAAGAAAGAGGTTTGAAGTGCTAGAAAAAAAAGTTGATGCTTTGTCAACTTTAATAAATCAAAAGATTGTGAATAAGGTATGTCGAAGCTTTTGAAAGGTCATCCAATAATTTTAATTGATCACAACTGATCTATTCTTATGTAAAAATATGAAGGTGAATGTAACTGAATTAGGAGAAGAACCAACAAAAACTCCGCTGGAGGTAAGTCGAATACCGTCGAATATATACGAAGCCATCGAATATATATGAAATTTTCGAAGCTTCTCGAATACAGTCGAAACGTTTTGTTCAGTTTTAAATCTATAAGATCTTTTAACGTTCAGGTGCTAGAGACGACAATCATGGATAATTGTGAAGAGATTGAGGCACGCAATCCTTCATCTGATGATAAGGTTTAGGGTTTAATGGAGTCATTTCATTTTGTTTGCATATGTTAAATGAAATCATATAATCATTTCATACTTCATTCTCATCATTTTCATACTTCATACTCTATAGGATTCTCCAGGACTCGGTATTCTCCAAATTCTTGGGGAAATAAATCAAGAGCATGAGAATCCACCTTCAACTCTTTCTGATTCTGTTTTTAGTTTGGAGAACAGAATGGTAAAGTTCTAATCTTAACTTACAGCTTCATTGTCCTTTCGAAAATAGAGTCATATTTTTGTTCTTGTCTGCAGGCTGAGTCTACCCATGAGACAATGGGAACAGAAGCTGCTGCCTCAATGAAGCCTCTGCAGGAAATGGTAAAATTCTAAATCTTACTTCAAGTACCTTTGAATTGATGTCAAAGCTTTCGATATAATTCGAATAATATGTAGGTTGAGCCTAGCCATGAGCTCATGGAAACAGACGTTGTTGCTTCTATGAAACCTCTGCAGGACAAGGTAAATTCTAAATTTCATGCATTCGAAATGCAGTCAATATCTTCGAAGTATTTAGAACATGTTTATTTGCACTCTATTTAATGTAGGTTGTTTCTCCGCGGAAGGAATTGGGAGACGAGGTTGAAATTATTGATGCCCTTGTGTATGGAAAGGTTTGGTATCTTACTTCATGTTCTTTCGAATGTGAGTCGAAGTTTTTGAAATAATTCGAATTCACTTTTTTTTTATTTTAGAGATTGAAAAAGAAGTCAACCAGTATGAAGTCTCCATATACAGCGGACGGGAGGAAGAAAAAGAAAGCCGATGAACTCTTATCTAAGCCGCCAACTAATGGAGATCTTTTGGAATTTAAGAGCTTCATCGTAGAAGCAATTAAAACTGACCGCCTTATACAATGCTACCTCGAGCAGCATAAGGAGCATGAGGAATTTGTGAAAACCTGGTGGACTGACCTTATCACTCCAGGTCTTTGGGTAGCGGATATTGTAAGTTGCATTAACCTTTCATTCTTTGTACACAAACAATGCTTATATCTTTCATTTTCTAATAACATACTTTTGTTTGTTAACTAGCATCTGAGTGAGTAGCTTTACGTCTTGAGAAGACTTTTATGCAATGACGATGGAGACTCTGTCATTGCGCCTTTTGAATTCACAACGTACGTGAACTCTTTTGCCTGTGACCCACAATGGCCTGTTTTGTCTGGACCCATTGAAAAGATTGTGGATGGTACATACAACGAGGGGCAGGAAGCATTTAAAACCAAAGCCTGGAAAAAGAACACTAAGTACATTTTTTATTTGAAAGCCACGGGTACACATTGGTTCTGTGTCAAGGCTGACTTTGAGAGATGCTACCTCGTCGTGCTTAAATCCCTTTCTGGGATATCTACGAATGAGGACATGCATCGTTTGCTGAAAGATGAACTTACAGGGTTTAAAGGCATTGCTGGAATTAAAGAAATTGGTCAGCACGGATATGCCGATTGGGATATCGAATTATCCCTAGTACCCCAACAGAAAGATTCTAACTGCGGCATCTTCGTGGTAAAAATGTTAGAGTTGGGAGCACAACATAAAGATTTTAAATCTTTGGAGAAGATGACAAAAGAAAAGATGGCTAACATGCGTTTAGAAATTGCTTACTACATATGCAAGGAGTACCATTGTAGAAACAAAAAATAAATTCTGTGGTAGATAAATATATTATTAATAAAATTGTGGTGGATACATATGATTTCATGGAATAGCATATATTATTACATACTCCCTCTGTCCACCATAGATCTTCCCAGTCACTATTCACATGGTCAAACTTTATTCACTTTGTTTACTCAATTTTACTAGTAATTTCATAAAATAATATAGTCTTGTCACCTCTAGTTTTGTAGAATTTTTCATGTAGTTTATTACTATATAAATTTTATTTTAAAATTTTACTCCTATAATCAATTAGATTGAATTGAAAATAAAGTCGGTCAAGCCCCGTAACGCGTAATGGGAAGATCATACATGGACGGAGGGAGTATATTATTAACAATATTATTAATTATGTGGTGGATACACATGATTGCATGGAATTGCATGGAGTTGCATGTAAACACGAGTAACTAATAATACAGGATTACATTCAAAAACTTGTTCATATAAAATTATATAAAAATCAATAATTCCATGAAATTAGCTCGGAGCGATCTTTGAGTAATTTCTTTTTTATCTCTTCAATATTTCGGTCTCTACACAAGCTGCTAGACCTGCTATCATTCCGTTTGTTCGATCAGACAACACCATGCCTCTACTGCAGCATACATGCACAGTTCGTCATCATGTGCTGCAGTAGAGGGATGTGTTATCTGATCGAAAAAACCATTACCACCGTTTTATCTGATCGAAAAAACCATTACGACAGTTACAGAAAAACAACGTACTTCAAATATCCATTTCTATCAATCAATGAAAGAAAGGTAAAAATTCTGATGTGGGTAAAGAAACAGGATTGTAAGATATCGTAAGAAATTCTGATGTGGGTAAAGAAACATGATTGTAAGATACGGAATACATTGATGAAGAATACTAAGTGTATAGATAATGAAAACAGGGTAAGTGGGATAGGGGGAATATATGAATTTTAAAAGGTGGGGTATGTGGAGTACTTATAGGGGTGGTTGAATATGAATATAGAGAGAGGAGTTCACAATTAAGAGTTGGTTGTTGGTTTAATCAGCTTTTATTACTCTCGTTATTACTCTCGTTCACAATTTAGAGACAGGAGTTCACAATAATAATGTTATAATAATAATAATTATAATAATTATAATAATTATAATAATTATAATAATTATACTAATAATAATAATAGAGAGGGTCGTTGAATTAAATAACTTTTCTAAAAAACTTACGCTTCGACTGTCCCGACTAATATTTGAATGCATTTCGAACTGAATTTAATTCGGGTAGCTAAAGCGGTCAAATCAGCTTTTATTACTCTCGTTGATTTCTAAGAGTTCAGGAGGTTAAATGAGATTTAATTTTGGTCATTATATTGAAAACTTAAATAATAATGTTATAATAATAATAATAATAATAATAATAATAATAATAATAATAATAATAATAATAATAATAATAATAATAATAATAGTAATAATAGAGAGGGTCGTTGAATTAAATAACTTTTCTAAAAAATTACGCTTCTACTGTCCCAACCAATAATTGAATGCATTTCGAACTGAATTTAATTCGGGTAGCTAAAGCGGTCAAATCAAGTTTTATTACTCTCATTGATTTCTAAGAGTTTAGGAGGTTAAATGAGATTTAATTTCGGTCATTAACTTGAAAACTTAAATAATAATAATAATAATAATAATAATAATAATAATAATAATAATAATAATAATAATAATAATAATAATAATAATAATAATAATAATAATAATAATAATAATAATAGAGAGGGTCGTTGAATTAAATCACTTTTCTAAAAAAATTATGATTTGACTGTCCCGACTAATATTTGAATGCTTTTCAAACTGAATTTAATTCGTGTAGCTAAAGCGGTCAAATCAGCTTTTATTACTCTCGTTGATTTCTAAGAGTTCAGGAGGTTAAATGAGATTTAATTTTGGTCATTAATTTGAAAACTTAAATAATAATTTTATAATAATAATAACTATAATAATAATAATAATAGAGAGGGTCGTTGAATTAAATAACTTTTCTAAAAACATTACGCTTCGACTGTCCGGACTAATATTTGAATGCATTTCGAACTGAATTTAATTCGGGTAGCTAGAGCGGTCAAATCAGCTTTTATTACTCTCGTTGATTTCTAAGAGTTCAGGAGGTTAAATGAGATTTAATTTCGGTCATTAATTTGAAAACTTAAATAATAATGTTATAATAATAATTATAATTATAATAATTATAATAATAATAATTTATAATAAGAATAAAAAATAATAATAATAATAAAGAGGGTCATTGAGATAAAAAAAATATCCGACTAATATTTGACTTTCCCGACTAATATTTGATGAGACTTTATTACCCTTATTACATGGATCACATGATTGCATGGAATTCCATGGAGTTGCATGTAAACACGAGTAACTAATATTACGGGATTACATTAAAAAACTTGTTCATATAAAATTACATAAAAATCAATAATTCCATGAAATTAGCTCGGGTCGATCTTTGAGTAATTTCTTTTTTATCTCTTCAATATTTCGGTCCCTACACAAGCTGCTATCCCTGCTAGCATTCCCCTATAATGTTAGTTTGTTCGATGAGACAACACCATTACTCTTCGTTTGAATCAATGTTGCAGTAGTAAAGATGAGTTCTACTAGAATCCCAATCATCAAACACGAGAATAACCACACCAATTGCTTCCCTACACGAGATAAACCAGAAGATGCCGTGGAGCATCTTCTGCAGTAATGGATAAAACGGATAATGGTATAAGAGATAACCATTATGACCGTTTTGCCTTATTGAGATAAGCATTAGGACCTGTTGTACCCAAACTTAGGATAGATAAACAGGAACAGATTCACTTCAAGGTTCAGAGCTAAGGAATAATCGATTAACACAATTGATAAATCGATTAATAGGGATTAGCTCAACTGGAATTGTTCAGAGGAACCAGATAATCGATTGACACTACAAGACAATCGATTGTGTGATGTTGCAGATTTTGAAAAAGAATCAGAAGGCTTCAATAGTCGATTATCAAACAATGATAATCGATTATTAGGGTGTAGCTCAACTGGAAATGTTCAAAGGAACCAGTTAGTCGATTGACACTACAAGATAATCGATTGTGTGATGTTGCAGATTTTTGAAGAGGAATCAGAAGGCTTCAATAGTCGATTATCAAGCAATGATAATCGATTATTTATGGGTTTAGGATCAGAAATAGAAGAAAAGAAGGGAAATGTTTTGTGGTTTTTGTATAAAGGATAAACCAAATAATATGTAAGAGATAAACACACTCTTTATATATATTTGGGGCTATTATCTATTTTATACTATAATAATCACTATTAAAGTATTAAATAGACTCCTAACACACACTCAAAAGTAGCCAACTTTAGAGATATTTCATTAGGAAATGGATTGAACTAGCTTCACACCAATTCAGGGATTACTTCAAGAGTAATATTGATAATGAAAATGAGATGATTTTTACAAGGCCTCATGGCCGAAATATATAATGCAAAAATAAGGGAAATTACACTTCACTTTCTTACAAATCATGTGATTAATATCCATGTGTTATTATTCTTAGTGGGCAGCACTCATTGACCAGGAAAAGGAGATTAAAAGGCTGGGATTTTG